TTTAATATGCATCTCAACAAAAAACACATATGCAAACTTATTTTTTTTAATATGCATCTCAACAACAAATACATATGCAAACTTATGTTTTTTTCTTGAGATGCATATTTTTTTTAAAAAAGCAAACTTTTTTTTAAATATACATCTCAACAAAAAACATATGCAAACTTATTTTTGTTTTATATATTTTGTCTAAGGGATCAATAAACTGTTCCCTTTCAAGATTTTTCAGGCTTTAATTCAAATGCAAACCTGATTCGTAGCTCAGTTTTTGGATGTTAACACTGAGTATTTGTTCTCCAGTCTCGGATTCCTCCCTCCAACGACTTCAAGGTGGGTATGAAGCTGGAGGCCCGGGACCCTCGTAACTCCACCTCCACCTGCATCGCCACGGTGATGGGCTTGATGGGCGTGAGACTCCGCCTCCGTCTGGACGGCAGCGACAGCACCAACGACTTCTGGCGATTATTTTTTTTAAAAAAGCAAACTTTTTTTTAAATATACATCTCAACAAAAAACATATGCAAACTTATTTTTGTTTTATATATTTTGTCTAAGGGATCAATAAACTGTTCCCTTTCAAGATTTTTCAGGCTTTAATTCAAATGCAAACCTGATTCGTAGCTCAGTTTTTGGATGTTAACACTGAGTATTTGTTCTCCAGTCTCGGATTCCTCCCTCCAACGACTTCAAGGTGGGTATGAAGCTGGAGGCCCGGGACCCTCGTAACTCCACCTCCACCTGCATCGCCACGGTGATGGGCTTGATGGGCGTGAGACTCCGCCTCCGTCTGGACGGCAGCGACAGCACCAACGACTTCTGGCGATTAGTCGACTCCGCCGACATCCAGCCAATCGGAACCTGCGAGAAGAAGGGAGACATGCTGCAGCCGCCGCTGGGTACGAGTGATGTCATTTCCTCTCCACATCTGAACCGAGCCGCAGGCGTCTGAAAGAACGAGTTCATGTTTAATAGGAGTCGTACAAACAAGCGGTCAATATAGCGACTGATTTCCGTGAGAGGGACTGTGCATCTCACGTCACGTCCAAAGCTTAATAATTCAGTGTTCATTACAACACTATCATAGTCTTTTATTATGTTTTATTTTTACATTTTCTGCTTTCGATTTAATTTTAGATAAAGTTTTCTCATTTTGTTGTGTGTTTTAGTCGTTCTATCTCTTTTTTTAAAGTATGTTTATTTCGTTTTCATTAATATTTATTTCAGTTTTAGTTTAGTACTTCGGGTTAAACTAAAGTTAAACGATAAAGAGAAATGTTGCCTTTGCAACCAACTGAAATAAAACAAATATATTTTATTTCAATGAATGTAAATTATATCCTCTTCTCTAATGTTGCCTGTCTTCAGCTTCCTGATTTTATTAGTATTTATTTATATTTTATTACTTATTTAGTATTATTAATATTTCTATAAATTTTTATTTATTCATGTTCATTTAAAATTTAGTTTGTTTTTGCAATTTTGTTGCATTTTAGTCATTTCTGTGAGTTTTTTAAATGTTTATTTAGATTTTATTAAGTTTAGTTTTAGTGATTTTAGTACTTCATCTTAAACTAAACAAAAATGAGAGAATTTACCTTTTTTATTTCCCCATTTTCATTTTAGTTTGCATATTTAGTTGGGGCTTTTTGAGTGTTTTAATAGCTTCTGTTAGTTTTTTTAATGTCTTTTTTAGCTTTCATTCATTTTTAAGTTATTTATTTTAGATTTTAGCACTTAAACCAAACAAAAATTAGAAACTTTTCCTTCACAAATAACTTGAAGTAATTTGTTTTTATATTATATTTTGTTTATTTCAAGTAACTAAAATGTTTTTCAGTATTTAGTTTTAGTTAACGATAGCAGCACTGGTCTGACAAAGAAAATGACATCCTAATGTCGCCTGCCTTCCCGTTTTAATTAGTACTTATTAATTTTTATTAAATTGTATTACTTCCTTTGAGTTTATAAATATTTTTTAAAAATTATTTATCATGTTTTTTTTTTTTTAAATACGCCTGTTTAGATTTTTATTAATTTTAATTTCTGTTTTAGTTGTAGTAATATTAGTACTTCAACTTAAACTAAATGAAAATGAGAAATTTTGGCTCTGTGACAAAAAATATTTTAATTTTTAATATTCAATTTGATTTTTACACATTTTATTTTAATTACCGTATTTTTAGTTTTACAGTTAGATAACTATAACAACATTGGTGTGCTGCAGGAAATGACATTGTCTTCTCTAATGTTGCCTGCCTTCAGCTCCCCGTCTTCTGCTTTGGCTGTTGATGGAGATGAGTGTGAACACATGTGAGCAGAATTACGGATGATAATTGTGTTTCTCTCCCTCATTTTCTCAGGATTCAGGATGAACGCCTCGTCATGGCCCATGTTTCTCCTGAGGACCCTTAATGGAGCCGAAATAGCACCTGCCACGGCATTTAAAAAGGTGCTGAACCTCCACAGAGAGAGAGCATGCATTTACACGGACGAAAGTGTTACTTAACGCAATCACATTAAAAGGTTTTGGTGACACTGACGCTCTGTAATTCCATCAGGAGCCGCTGCGGCCGCCCCAGAACGACTTCAAGCCCGGCACGAAGCTGGAGGCCGTGGACAAGAAGAACCCGTACCTGATCTGTCCGGCCACCATCGGCGAGGTGAAGGGGGAAGAGGTGTTTGTGATGTTTGACGGCTGGAGGGGGGCGTTCGATTACTGGTGCCGCTATGACTCCAGGGACATCTTCCCCGTGGGCTGGTGCGCCGTCACCAAACACAGCCTGCAGCCGCCGGGAAACAGCAGTGAGTGACCGCTGCACACATCGCTGAAGGCTGTTTAGAGTTTAGATTAGTGGCCAGGAAAGGTTGTAGGTTCGAATCCCACACAATGGCTGATGCTTGAGCTACGATCGAGACAAGAAGCAGGGCTATTAGAGTTAACAAAAAAATTAAACCATAAAAAAAAGAAAAAAATGTTACTTGAAATAAAATAAAATTAATTGAAAATGAAAATAAACATTAAGTGTTAAAATATAAAAATATTCAATAAATCATTAAATAACATTTAACATTAAATGAAATAGAAAAACCTAATATTGATGTACTAAAATAACTAAAGCCAAAACTGAAATAAAATTAATAAAAGCTATATAGTAAAAATAATAAAACTGACAAAAACACACAGCAATTACTAAAACTTTAACTAAAAAAAAATTATATATATATATATAAACTAATTAAAAAACATGAATAAAAGTAAAATAGTAAAATAGCACTGGACTGAACCTGTGAAAAAGTCCATTTGGATAAAGCTTAGTGGATTTTATTTTTGGATAAGTAAACTTATTTTATTTCAGCTAGTTGTCAAGACAACATTTCTTATTTTCATTTATTTTAACTTGATGTACCAAAATAACTCAAACTAAAACAAAAAAAATATTTTTAAAAACTATGTAGAATAAAAAAATAAACTAATAAATAAGTGACTAAATTACTAGAATGTTAACTAAAACTAAAATGAAAACAGAAAATATAAAAATAAAAACGAGTTCGAAATATAAGTACTGTAATACGGCAAAAATGGCAAATCACTGGTTGTAAAAACAGTGTTGTTCCTCAAGACAAATGCAGTTTTATTTATTAAAAAAGTTACTTAGTGCATCTAAAACGAAATGCCTTGACAGCTAACTGCAATAAAATAAGTTTAAGCTGATGTACTAAAATTGCTAAAACTGGAACTGAAATAAAAATAAATGAAATCGAAATAGAAATATTAAAAAAAACTTTAAAAAATGACAAAAGCACATTAAACAAATTACTAAAACTTACAAAAATGAAAAGGAAAACTGAAAATCTCTCTCTCTCTCTCTCTATATATATATATATATAGCTAACTGGCTAACTCAAAATATTATAAGTACTACAATATAATTGAATAATACTAAAATAACCCTGGTTCCTGTGCTCTTCTCTGTCCTATAACATAAAGACATGTAAACAGCTTGTGTGAGCAGCAGGGGGCGCTACAGCTCTCTGAAACTCCACAGTCCACTAACTCTCTAACTCACTAACCCTCAGGAATCACATGACCGCTGCAGAAGGAAGATCTTCTGAGACCAAAGCAGTCTGAATCAAGGCTGTCTGTTTTTAAAGTGTCTCTTTTGCAGGTTCAGCATTTAAAACTTAATGCAATCATAATTTGGTCTGCTCTTATGTCTGCTTCCATCTGGCCTAAACTCAAACCTCATCTGGGTTGGCATAAAATACAAATATATTGATTGAAACAAAAAAAGAATGATTATTTCATTAGAAATAAAAGAAGAATCAGTTCATGTGTTAGCTTCAGTGTTATTTTAATATTATGTATTTATAGTTATAATATTTATTCAGATTTTGAGTTAGTTTTGTTTTTATATTTTCAGTTTTAGAATAGTTTTTATCATTTGGATTAGTTTTTTATATTTCTATTTCAGTTTTAGTACTTTAACCTAAACCTTTTATTTCTGAACATTCAGTCAGCTTCAGTGTCATTTAAGTATTATTGATTTATTATTATAGTATTTATTAGGATTTTAAATGAGCTTTTATTATAATATTTTCAAATATTATTTGATTTAATTAGGAATAACTAGGAATGACTAATTGTCATAATTGCAGCTGCTGTGTGCACTATTGAGTAAAGCTCTCACAGCGAGACTGATGCATTTGACTGGGTTTTTAGGCTTGCAATTTGTATTTAATCTTTTAAATTTCACATGTGGACCCTCCAAAAATAAAGGTTATGATGGGGATAGCATATTAGCAATCTAGGTAGTATGTACAGTATATTGTGTGCAATATATAATGTCATTTTTGCTACTGAAGGTGAACATTTCGCTCTCATACTCTCATATTAACAAGAATGGATTGCGAAAGTAATTACAGTCTTTAGAAAACGCTTTCTTTAACCAAACAGAATCCAGAACGATTTTATAATGTTTAGTAAAATAAAACACACACTGAAGTCATAAATTAGCTGGGATTTAATCCAGATCTGGCGTTTTGAGTGGAGTCAGTCTGAGCTATAGATGATGATATACGCATTTCCATTAATGTTCATTCGGCCGCAGCTGGAATTCATTTTGAGTTTGCAGAAAATTTTCCCCAAATTATACAAACCTCCGGATCTCGTGTTGCAGTGTTTGTAATTCCGCTCCGCATGTTGTGTTGCGAATTACAGACATTTGTTTAAAGGATTTGTTTTGGATCTGGATGATGTGGAATGACCTGTGCTGTTTGTTTTTTTGTAGCCCATCCAAGTAATTATGTGTAAATGAGATAATTAGCGAGCGAGCCGCGCGGGTCAGGAGGAATTCGAGAGTTTGTGTGAAAATAAACAAATCGCACACTTAGACACACATCTGTGAGAAAAGACGAAGAATAACCAGAGAAACGAAACAGACGGAGAGGAAAGTGGTGAGAGTGTTTACAGTAAAGACCAACTAGAGAAAAGCGTTTAACTGAAACACACACACATCACACAGACCCACACTTAACACACTTAAACTAGATCGTCCATTAAAGGGT